GTTGGTGTACTTCCTCTTGTCTCTACCTTAACAGCAGCCTCACTGACTCAGAGCTCCAGTTTTAGCTGCCTGTCTCAATGCTCAACACAAGCCAGCATCTCAACTCTATTTTATATGTTTCTAATATCCCCTGCAGCAGCATCTAGCCATGCCAAACTGCCTGCCTGGTCTGTCCAACTTATTTCCCAAGACATTAATTATTATTCTTGATTGTGTCTGATTACAAAATTATTTAGGTTTTCAGTAGTCCATTCCAACCCTATTTCCCGTAGCCCTATATAGTTAGGGTGCAATTTGCAGAACATGAGGTTTCTCAGGAGCACAAATGTTTCGTAGTAGATTCTCTCATAGTTCAAACTATCTCAAGTATTTCCTCAATCAGCTTATACACCCCAAATCTAGGTGCCTTATCTCTATTGGTAGCAAAAAATCAAATCATTGGAGTCATTCACATCTCTCTCACACTCTTATACACCCAATTACTCCACAAATTCTCTCTATTTTCCTTATACATTACCTCCCACATCTTTTTCACTACCATTTACCCTAACTGAAAGCTTCAGTGCCTCTCATTAGGGTGAATTTAACAGTCTTCAAGAGGATCAACCATCTTCACGATGAATCTAACAGCCTTCAAGGTGATCCCTATCTTCCAAGCCCACTTCATTCTAAACCAAACTCACTATACAACAAGGACTTTCTAAAAATACAAATCTGGCTGTGCTATTTCTCCACTTAAAAATCTTCAGCAGCATTCTACTGTGCATTCAAAACTTCAAACCATAGCCCACTTTGTCTCACACTGAACCCTCCACATGCTTTACACTCTACAGTGGTAAATCATATAAGATTACAGATTACCCTGTACTAGAGTTAGAATGTCACCTCCCTACCCTTGATTTTAAGTATCTTAAGCTCCTTCTCTTCATATTTTTAGAGACAAAGATAAATCTTGGTTTTACCGCTTACTAGCTATAACCTTGAGCAAGTTATTTAGCTTTCTGAGCCTCAATAAAATTAAGACAATCTCCATGTCATGGAGTTGCTGAAAAGACTAAATGAGATAGCATATTCAAAATGCCTAGAAAAGACATCAATAAACGTTAGCTTTCTTAAAAAGTGTTCCCTTAAAAAATAAACACACAGCCGGGCACAATGGCTCATGTCTGTAATCCCAGCACCTTGGGAGGCTGAGGCAGGTGGATCACCTGAGGTCAAGAGTTCAAGACCAGAACAACCAACATGATGAAACTCTGTCTCTACTAAAAATACAAAACAGGCCAGGTGTGATGGCACATGACTGTAATCCCAGCTACTTGGGAGGCTGAGACAGGAGAATCGCTTGAACGCAGGAGGTGGAGGTTGCAGTGAACCAAGATCAAACAAAAAACAAAAAACAAAAAAAAACCCCACAAAACTAACTGTTTGCCTTCTTTCTCCCATAACTAGGCAGGTAGAAAGTAGCACTCAAAGAAATTGGTTCCAGCCACTCACATAGTGGCTCACACTTTGGGAATCTAAGATGGGTGGATCACCTGAGGTCAGGAGTTCAAGACCAGCCTGACCAATAAGGTGAAATCTCATCTCTACTAAAAATACAAAACGGGCCGGGTGTGATGGCACATGACTGTAATCCCAGCTACTTGGGAGGCTGAGACAGGAGAATCGCTTGAACCCAGGAGGTGGAGGTTGCAGTGAACCAAGATCATGCCATTACATACCAGCCTGGGCAACAAGAGCAAAACTCCATCTCAAATAAAGGAAAAAAAAAAAAGAAATTGGTTCAATTACACAATCTACATTTGGCCTTCTGAGATAAATCCCTAATCCTAAAGATTTAGTAGAATCTTTCTATACGACTAATTTTAAAAAGTTATTGATATGAAACTATATCAGATGATTTATGCTAACACTAATGTGAATTGTTATTAAATTTACTGAAATTGAACATATGCCTAGTCCATATGCAGAACTAGTAGTTAGTTCTAACACATAACTATCACAACATACAAATACACGTAAAAATAGAGAGCTTTCAATATCTATTATAATAAATTCCATAGCATACAGGCCTGCTAGCATACGTACCTTAAAAAGCCAGTGAAAGATTCTTATACATTCATTCAAAGGATTAGTCTAATTTGATTTATACCACAGGCTTTCATATTATGGCATTACAAGAGATTGTTTAAAATGAGTAAAAACAGCTAGGCGCAGTGGCTCACACCTGTAATCCCAGCCCTTTGGGAGGCCAATGTGGGATGATCACTTAAGGCCGGGAGTTCAAGACCAGCCTGGGCAACACAGCAAGACCCTGGCTCTACCAAAAAAAAAATTTTTTTAATTAAAAATATTAGTTGGGCATGGTGACCCACACCTGTCATTCCAGCTATTCAGGAGGCTGAGACAGCAGAATCACTTGAATCTAGGAGTTTGAGGCTGCAGTGAGCTATGATTCCACCACTGCACTCCAGCCCAGGCATGAGAGCAAGAGCTTCATCTCTGAAGTTTTTTTAAAAACAAAACAAAAACTAAAAAAACCCCAAGTTAATCTTTTCTGTTTACTTTGCCTCTTTCCTTTCTCCCACTGATTTTGTCTGATTGTTTTGCCTATTTCAATATGGTTAAAAACAATTACAGAGGAGAAAAAACAGTTGTTTCATTAAACTGCTGGGACAAGTAGACCAACAGCAAAAGAATAAAGCTGTACCCCCTAACTTTACATCATATACAAAAATTAACTCAAAATGGATCACAGTCCTAAATGTAAGAACTAAAACTATAAAACTCTTAGAATAACACACAGGCAGGGCGGGAAAAAAATAATAAATAAATAAATAAATAAAAATTTAAAATTAACACGTAGGCATTAATCTCTGTGACCTCGGATTGAACAAATGGTTTCCTAGATATGACACCAAAATCACAAACAACCAAAGAAAAATAAATTGGCCCGCATCAAAATGAAAAGTTTTTGTGCTTCAAAGGATACCAAAAAGAAAGGAAAAAGACAAGTCACGGCTGGGCGCAGTGGCGCACACCTGTTGTCCCAACTACTAGGGAGACTGAGGCAGGAGAATCGCTTGAACCCGGGAGGTGGAGGTTGCAGTGAACTGAGATCACGCCACTGCACTCCAGCCTGATGAAAGAACAAGACTCCATCTCAAAAAAAAAAAGACAAACCACATAATAGGAAGCATAAATTCACAAATTATTATCTGATAGGGGTCTAATATTTAGAATACATAAAGAACTCTTACAAATCAACAGTAAAAAGATAAACAGCCCAATTTAAAAACAGGCAAGAGATCTAGATGAATAGACATTTCCCCAAGAAGATATACAAATGCCCAATAAGCAAATGAAAAGATGCTCAGTATCATTAGTTATTAGGGAAACGGCAATCAAAATCACAATGAGATACCATTTCATACCCACTAGAATGACTATAATCAGAAAGACTGACAATAACAAGTGTTACAAGTATGTAAAGAAAGTGTAACACCCATACAACCCTGATAGGAATGTAAAATGGTACAACCACTTTAGAAAACACTTTGGCAGTTCCTCAAAAAGTTAAACACAGAGTTACCATATGACCAAGCAATTTCACTCCAAGAGCAGTAAAAACATAGGTCCATGCAAAAATTTATACACAAATATTCACAGCTGCACTATTAATAAGAGACAAAAAGTGGAAACAACCTGCAAGTTCAACTGAGGACTCTATTAACATATTCATGCAATTGAATATTATTCAGCTATAAAAATGAAGTACTGACAGATGCTACAACATGGATGAACCTTGAAAACATGCTAAATGAAAAAAGCAAGACACAAAAGGCCGCAGATTGAATTATTTCATTTATATCAAATGTCCAGGATGGGCAAATTGGTAAAGACAGAAAATAGATTAGTTGTTGCCAGGGAGCAGAAGTGACTATTATTGGGTACAAGGTTTCTTTTGGGGGTGATGAAAATGTTTGTGAATCAGATAGTGATGACAGTGGCACAACTTTGGGAATATATTTTAAAACCACTGAATTGTACACTTTAAAAGGGTGATTTTTATGGTACAATAATAACTCAATTAAAGAACAAAAAAAACAGAGTAATAAAAAGCAGCACAACTAAGGAATGAAGCAAGTGCTGCTTTCCTGACCCAACATTTCTGTACACTTACTATGCTTCAGACCTATGCTGGTTGATAGGAACCCAAAGATGAGTAAAACAAAGTTGCTATACTCTCTTCAGGGTGCTTCTCCTCAGCCTACAAATGTTTCTTATTTCTCAAGAGTGTGGCAACTTTAAAATGCAAAAAACAGCAAGTGTAAACCACAGACAACCCAAGAGAATGCGGATATTTACATTATAAACCCTCACAATTACCTAGAAGGTGATTTTTTAGGTTTCACTAAATATGGGGGAGGGGAGAGATATGTTTCTAATATTAGATGTTACATAACTCATTGTTTCCCAATGCTGACCATGTCATTTTCCAAGAATTATTATTTAAATAGCTTCATTTCACTTATTTGAAATGTTTTTTATAAATGTTTCTTGATTATACCATTTTGAATGTATCATTTTTCTCAGTGATTCCTGGATTCTCTATTTTTGACATTCAAAAACCTCATGATAAACACAAATTAGTCCAAAATAAAATGTGTTCTAACACTGTATTACAATAACTATATGAAAACTTTATTTTTTGTAATATAACAAGACAGTTCTCTAAACTGTTTGGGTTCTAATAAAATTTTCACAAATCAGGAAAAATCTGATTTCCTGATGGCTGCACTTCTATAAAAGAATCACTACCAAAAATCAAAGTAATGTTTAGAAAGAAAATTAGGCTGAATAGTACTACCTTAAACATAGCAAAAGAAAAAAGAAGGTATGTTCTACTTAATCTAGGATACTAAATACTTCTTATTCTTCTAATACATTATTTACACTAAATTCCCAAAAGGCAAAACTAAAATCTACATTATTATTACCTTATCTTTGGCCTCAGGCAGTGTGATTTCTCTAGGTTCTAAAAATGGTATTTCCCGAAAAGGTGGAACACATCTGACTGTATCTGGTACATAATGTGTATGAAACAATGGCGGCATTGAGTATCTTCGTTCACCTGATAAAGGCACTATCTGGTTAACTACAGTTGGCTCTTGGTGGGGTGAATGGAAACGCTGCCGTTTACCATCAAGAGGAAGGTTTTTTTCATCGCTTAATCTCCTGAAAACAAGCAATATACCTTAGTGATTAAAGATATAACTTTTTGATAACAAACAAAAAGCAATTAAAAATATAAAATGTCATAAGAGATAACAAAATATTACAATTCTTTCAATAAAAGTACATTATTCGTTTTATATGGATCTTAAAAATATTCATGTTAAGCACAAGAAATGCCTCTCAACACCTTAGAAACACACAGTAACAATGCAGAAAGAAAAAATTACATATATATATTGGGGTTAGTCTCCTGTATTTGAACCACCCCAATGTTTCACTATCTCAGTAGTGAAAATTTTGTAGAAAAAGTTCTCTTTATAGAATTACTAAGAAGAAAGGATTCAAACTATAACATAAGGAAGATAAAATTAAGTGAGCTAAGTGCCAGTTACAGAAAAGGGTTTTTTGAATACACCTGTGTTCTGGTTCATCAGCAGGAAACACCAAATTAAGAGATACTTTTTAATAAAGCTATAAAGACCCTGGACAACTGAAGAAATTAGAAAATGAGCTGCAACGCAGAGAATAGTATTAATATTAAATTTCTCGGGCATAATTAATGTATTTTGGTTATACAGGAGAAAAGCCTTGTTTTTAAGAGGAATAAGCTGACATGTTTTGAGGTAAAATAAAATGTCAACAACTTTCTTTTATATGGTTCAGGAAAAAAAGCAAGTGGGCAGGAAGAAAAAGAGAAATCAAATGTAGTAAAACTTTTAACTCATGAATCTAGGCAAAAGACATACAGATATTCACTATATTATTCTTTAAATTTTTCTGGAGGTTTAAATATTTGCAAAATATTAAGAAAAAATCATTAAAGAGTAAATATATTTTGGGAAAAAAGACATTTACTTCACTGATATATTAAGTTGTTCATTTGGTAATACTTTATGTCACAGAAAATAGTCCAATTCCTTTTAAGCCAGAAAATTCTATGGGTCTTAGAAGGTTTTTTTAACATTCCTTTGGGATTACGTCAATTGCTCTCTTCTTGACAGATCTGCAAAATAAGTAGACCCCTACTCACAGGTAAAGTATACAATGCTAAATTCATAAAAGCATATTTATAATACTACCTTTAAACATAAAAGTATTTTAGCGCTATATAGCTGAATGTCTTCTAATGAGAATGCCAATTTTAATTTGAAAAATATATTTGGCCGGGCACAGTGGTTCACGCCTATAATCCCAGCATTTGGGAGGCTGAGGCGTGTGGATTACAAGGTCAGGAGTTCAAGACCAGCCTGGCCAAGATGGTGAAACCCTTCTACTAAAAATATAAAAATTAGCTGGGCGTAGTGGCAGGCACCTATAATCCCAGCTACTCAGGAGGCTGAGGCAGGGAATTGGTTGAACCTGGGAGGTAGAAGTTGCAATGAGCTGAGATCATGCCACTGCACTCCAGCCTGGGTGACAGAGTGAGACTCCATCTCAAAATATATATATATATGTCCCATCTCTACTAAAAGTACAATGTTTAACTACAAATTAATGGAGCTTATTTTCATTCTTGATTCACAAATTGGCTATAAAGGCAATTTCTAAAGAATAAAGTCAATACTATCAGAATTATTATAAAACTTTTATCAACAATTTTGAAGAACAACCTGTAGTGTTTACAAGCCTATGACTCAGAGACATATAACATTTCAAATCCCAGCCATGCCACTTCTGAGTAACTAGTTACTTAACCTTTATGTGAGTCAACTTTCTCCTCAACAGAAGAGGGATAAAAGTATCTACCTCAGTGTTGTGTGATTTAATCAAACCACTATTTGTAAAGGCTTAGAATAATGCTTACTACAAAGTGAGCAATCAATAATTCCTAGCTAGTGTTATTATTATATTTTTTATAGCACCTTGCTCACCAATAGTATTTTTTTATGGGACATAAAAGTTACAGAATGTTTATATAGGTTTTTCAGTAACAGTAATATCTTTCAAATATTGCCAAATGTTATTTTAATAACCACCTCTCAAATTTTGTCATGTTTTGTAATAAATGAATTTCTTTTAATCAAATAGATCAAAACTGACTCCTGACTTGACTACAGGAAGCTTTATGTCACGCAGAAATTTTCACTACAATATTTGTTATCATGGAACCTTACCTGTGTAAGATGTAGATGAATCAAAAGAAAAACAAAGTTTACTAGAAAGAAAATGTTATAATTGTGTCTACCTAGAAATTCAAATGTTGAAGTCCTAAGCCCTACTACCTCAGAATGTGACTGTATTTGGAGAAAGAACTTCTTAAAAGTTAACTAAGTTAAAGTGGAGTCTTTAAGATGAACCTTAATCCAATATGACTGGTGTCCTTAAAAGAAGAGATGAGGACACAGAAAACACAGAGAAACAACCGTATTAAGACACAGTGACAAAGCAGCCATCTACAAGACAAGAAAAGAAGCCTCAGAAGAAACCAACCCTGCCAGCACCTTGATCTTGATCTTGATCTAGCCTCCAGAATTGTGAGAAAATAAATTTCTGTTGTGTAAGCCACCCAATGTGTGGCATGTTGTTATGGCAACCCTACCCCAGCAAATGAATACAGAAGCCATCTCATTTCATTAAAAAATATCAATTAAAAAGTGGTTTTCTAGCTCATGGCTATAATCCCAGCACTTTGGGAGGCCAAGGCGGGCAGATCACAAGGTTAAAGATCGAGACTATCTGACCAACATGGTAAAAACTTGTCTCTACTAAAAATACAAATATTAGGGGGGCGTGATGGCACATGCCTATAGTCCCAACTACTCGGGAGGCTGAGGCAGGAGAATCACCTGAACCCAGGAGGCACAGGTTGCAATGAGTTGAGATTGTGCCACTGCACTCCAGCCTGGCACAGACTGAGACTCCATCTCAAAAAGAAGTGGTTTTCTGAAGAAATTTAAATTTACTCTAGAAAAAGAAAACCTGGGATACAGAAAAAGAAAACCTGGGATCTAGGAAAGAAATGATCTGATGAAAGGCAGAAACGAAGATACAATAAAGCAGGAACAAATCAACAAAAGAACCCCTAAAATTTTTAAACACATAAAAAATGTTAAAATTCCATAACTGATCTGATCATACAGGTCCAAGAAAACAACATAGGGTCCATACCATATTAATTCAAGATACACTGTTAGAGTTCTCAGAAATACAAAATTATTCTTTTAAAATAATTAAGAAGTACTTACTTCCTTCCTCGAAATAATGGGGAAGTTGAGGTCTGTATTGGACTGACATTTCCATATGTCAACTGCTGTAACGACACAGCTCTCGACAAGCTATCAAAATCAAAGAAAAGAACAGTAATAATATATATATTTTTCTTTAAAAACAAAACCAATTTCTGAAAATAAAATTAGATACATCCCTGCTTTAAAAAAAAAGTGATGATATATTCTCCACATTCAAAAGTTTCATACAAAAGGATTATGTCAAACAGAGAATGAAATTTATCAACAAAAGGGGCCAAAATATTACCATACTTACTCTGCATTCTGAAAGTTGAATTGTGCATCTATAAGCTGCTGGTGTGAATAAACAGTTGGTGACAGGTTAAAGAAGTTACTATGTTGTTGATGATTTGGAGTGAAGGGTGGGCGACCCAAAATTGAGTTTGGGAACATGCTCTTGTTCACGGGAAGTGAACATGTATTCTTCCACCTAGGAAAATTTAAAAAGACAATACTAAATTATAATAGCTTAAAGATACTAAACACTTTAATAACTATTATCCACTAAATTAAAACAGTTATCAAGTTACAAATTTTATTTGCAAAGTTAAATAAGTCTCTTAACTGTCACTGTAGGTAACAAAAGAAAACTACTAATAAATTCTAAATCTTAAGATTAACATTATTCAAATCGCAAATATGCACATTTCTAATTTTCTGATGAATTGTCCCTAATACATTTACCCTCATATCAACAAATCTTTTAGAAAATCAAGTTATCACCTGACATTAATAAAATCCCACAGATTCTTCCATTTATTCTCAATCTAATTTAAACAAAGGTATAAGCCATCATATGACACCCTGATACCTAGAACTTGGATCTTAAGGTCTGATCAAATAAGGAATGGATTTTATATTGTCTTAACAATTTATAAAATTCTGAGATTCCCCGCAAATCTACATACTTTATACGAAAGACTTCTAATAAAAGAGGGCTCTATTCCACAGGAATAGGAAAAAACTATACAAAACAATCAGAATCCTTCACTGATCCAAGGAGGAGAGTAGACATTTATTCTTTGCAATGACAGATACATCAAGGCTGCAGTCTTGCAAAGGATAGGATAGGGTAATAAACTGAAAACAAGTATCATGTAAAGTCTACAAAGAAAAATAGGGCCTCAGCCCACTTTCTCAAAGCAAGCAATTAGAAAACTCTTTTTGGCGGGGGGGGCGGTAACAAGAGAACCTATACCATAATAATACTTGGGAGTCCATCAAGAAAATGTCAAGCTAGCTACCTAATCAACCTAACATGAAACCTCAAGTTGACAGGCTCTACCCACACACTTTAAGAGTTTCTAATTAGATTCCTGATATTCTCACTTAAAATAGACATCCATGGATCACCAGAAGAAAAATAAAACCTGGGAATAAATAGAAACAATGTCAGGAACAAACGAACACTCAAAAAAAAAAGTGGGGGATCGGCCAGGTGCGGTGGCTCACACCTAGAATCCCAGCACCCCGGGAGACCAAGGTGGGAGGATTACTTGAACTCAGGAGTTCAAAACTAGCCTGGGCAACAAAGTGAGACCCTGTCTCTATAAAAAAAACCAAAAAATTAGCCAGACACAGTAATGTGTGCCTATGGTCCCAACTACACAGGAGGCTTAAGGTGGGAGGATCACTTGAGTCCAGGAGGTCAATGCTGCAATGAACCATGTTCATGACACTGCACTCCAGCCTGGGTGACAGGGTGAGACCCTAACTCAAAAAATAAAATAAAAATCCTCCAGGAAATTATAAAATTGAAAGCAGAACTATCCAGCACAAAGTTAAAAGATAATTTTGAGGAAATGTATTAGAACAACAAGGAAAAGTTGTTAGGGGCAGGAAGGACGCAAGACAACAGAAAACAAAAGAGTATTAAACTATGTGATCCAACATTATAACATAAGGTCCAGGAAGAACAGAGAAAATACAGAGGACATTACCTAATAAATAAAACAAAATAAAAATGTCAAAAACTTAAAGACACTAATCCCCAGACTGAAAGGACCTAGAGAGTAAAAAGTGCAATAAAAAAGATACACGTCAAGGTATATTATAGTGAAGTTTCAGAACATCACACACAAAAAAAGGAAGTTTATAAAATATTCCAGAGGGAGAAAATGCTATAAATAAAGGGCAAGAAATCAAAATGGCTTTGGACTCCTCAATAGCACAGGACATGGACTCATGACTTCAAAGTTCTGAGGGAAATGTTCTCAGGCTGTAATTCTATACCTAGCTACACTATCAATGCAACAGAGACTAGAAACAATTTAGACAAGTAAGGTATCAAAAAAAGAAAACCTGAAATCTAGAAAAAGGGAAATCTGATGTAGGGCAGAAACAAAGTAAATTCCCCAAGATGATAGTGATGGGGAGCTAACAGTTCAAATTAGAATATGAGGATGCAGCGCTTCAAGAAGATATCTAAGGAAAAAAAAATCAACTGGTAGATTACCTAATGTATTTGACTATGGAGAAAAGTTCTCTTAACAGAGTAGAAATAATTTTAGAAATACAGAAATAAAAATAAATTACCAAAATAAAAAACACTCAATAGGTAATATTAAAAAGTGGCCAGGCACAGTGGCTTATGCCTATAATCCCAGCACCTTGGGAGGCCAAGGGAAGTGGGTCACAAGGTCAAGAGATCAAGGCCATCCTGGCCAACATGGTGAAACCCCATCTCTACTAAAAGTACAAAAATTAGCTTGGCGTGGTGGCATACGCCTATAAACCCAGTTAGTCGGGAGGCTGAGGCAGGAGAATAGCTTGAACTCAGGAAGCAGTGGTTGCAGTAAGCTGATATCGAACCACTGAAATCTAGGCTGGCGACAGAGCAAGACTCTGCCTCAAAAACAAAACAAAAAAAAAGCAATATAATCAGTTACCTACCTGATTATTACAATAATGTTAAGATTGAATATACTGATTTTTTTATTTTTGAATATACTGCTTTTTTTAAAAGAGTTACTGCATAAAATTGAGTATATTTATATGACACATTATACTATAAATTTATGTTTATATATCACATACCACAATTTTTATAAGAACAACAGTGTACAAAAAGCACTAAATCCTTATTTTCAGTAAATATAAATCAAAATAATTAACCACAGAAGCTTTATTCTTTTTTTTCTTTTTTTTTTTAACAACAGAGAAAAATAACACTATGTAGCCAGAAGAACTGAAGAAATCGCCTTTGGGTATTGTGGCTAAGAGGGCTGGAAAAACTGTAAGAGACAACAGGGGAGAAAAAGAAAGATCTGGGAAGAAACTAAAAAATCATTTGCAAATATTGCTCCTTGTTTTTTCAATTCCATAAGATGAAATTTCCCAGGTTGGCCACAGATGACAAGACTCACCAGTCCAGGGTTCTTAACAGACTGTGGACAAAATTCTATGAAATATCATCAGACCTCATCCCAAATGCCTGACTCTAATTTGGACCAGAGACAAGGTTAACCTCCAGAAAACAAGGGTCTGTCAACTTTCTTTAGCAGGCTCTTAGGTCTTTTTAAAAGAGATTTTTAAAAAAGAAAATAAATCCTATCATATATCCTCACCTGTACACCCCAACTTGTTCAGAGGAAATGGACAAACATCTTGAACTAAGCAGCATTCCAGGGAATCCCCTAGTAAAAATACATACAATAATCCTAAGCTGGGCAGTTGCTCAAACCTGTAATCCCAAAACTTTGGGAGACTGATGCAGGCAGATTGTTTCAGCCCAGAAGTTAGAGACTAGCCTGGGCAACATGGTAAAACCTGATCTCTACAACAAATTCAAAAATTAGGCAAGGCACGGTGGCACATGCCTGTAATCCCAGCACTAATGAAGGCCGAGGCGGGTGGATCACCTGAAGTCCGGAGTTCGAGAAAAGCCTGACCAACACGGCGAAACCCCATCTCTACTAAAAATACAAAAATTAGCTGGGCATGGTGGCGGGCACCCGTAATCCCAGCTACTCATGAGGCTGAGGCAGGAGAATGGCTAGAACCCATGAGGCGGAGGTCACAGGGAGCCAAAATCGCCCCACTGCACTCTAGCCTGGGCAACAAGAACAAGACTCTGTCTTGGGGGGGGGGGGAAAGAGTAGATTAATTCCTAGTAATTTCTAGTGATAAAGTGTTTGGTCCTGTAATTTGTAACTTGGAATCTGTGTCCTCCACTTGACCTCTCCTCCAACAAATCAGAGAAGGCTCAAGATTATATATTATAATTCCTTCATCAGTATTCTTTGGAAAGCAGAATCTACCTAGTATAAAAACCAGAACTGTACTGGCTAAACCAAGATACTCTCCATTTTGATACTCTCCATTTGATCCCTCAGACCCACTTCTTTTCTCCACAATACAGAAAGTCCAATTCCTAAATCCTGCTAACCCACTGTGAAAACCACTTCCAGGTTCTAAACAGGACATTCCTTTTGGTTAAGAATTAAATTCCATCCAAGTGTTCAAAAAAAGAATCTAGTCACATGGCTCCAAATGGGCATTTCTTTTTTTTTTTTTTTTTTTTTTTTTTTTTGAGACGGAGTTTCGCTCTTGTTACCCAGGCTGGAGTGCAATGGCGCCATCTCGGCTCACCGCAACCTCCGCCTCCTAGGTTCAGGCAATTCTCCTGCCTCAGCCTCCCGAGTAGCTGGGATTACAGGCACGCGCCACCATGCCCAGCTAATTTTTTGTATTTGTAGTAGAGATGGGGTTTCACCATGTTGACCAGGATGGTCTCGATCTCTTAACCTCGTGATCCACCCGCCTCGGCCTCCCAAAGTGCTGGGATTACAGGCTTGAGCCACCGCGCCTGGCCAAATGGGCATTTCTTAAACAACTCACAAATGGTCTGTTTCACATGGAGCCTGTTACAGGAAATTTCCAGAACCGAAATTAAGGCTATTCACACCAACAAGGTAATGTCACTATTAATGGCTATTAATCAGTATAAATTAATAGCCTTATGGCTGTTAATCAGTACACATTAGAAGCCTTGTGGTACTGAACTATACAATATGAATGCATTTAAAAAGTACTATGTTACCTGTAATTATAAAAATACCGATTTAGTTGATCAGTTATAATCTCTTTCCTCAAAAAAAGCATACACTGTACACCTATTATTTAGCTTTTGTTTTATAGTTTCCCTTTGTTTCTTCTGTTACCCTACTGATAAATAACTGCTATTTTAAACAGAGTTGAAAGAGATAAGTAATTTAGATAATCCGTAAGTTGTGAGACACATAAGCCTTTCATGTTCTCACCTCGAGAAACGAAGAGCCTTTCTACAAAGGCTGAACAAGAAAGGTATACACCTAACAGTCTTAACCTGTGCATTTTCCTATAAAGCGAAATTTAATTTCATGCCATTTAATTAAGCCTTAAAAGATAAATGCCTTTTAAATTTTTTAATTAATCCAGATATTTACCTTAGTTCTTCACCACCCTTTTAAACACCATGCAGGGATCCCAAGACAACCTTCCTCTTTCGGTTCTGGAGGGGAGCACACGAGGAAGAAAAAAAGAGTAAGCAAAGTAAGCGGTCCTAAGAGTCTTCAAAATGTACAGCAGCCCAGGGGCTGCCCATGAATCTGCAATAACCAAGAGATACCGCCGGAATCTCCCACGCAAAACAAAACGCTACAGTTTCGGAAAAAGTTTCCCGCGCCCCGCCCCCGACCTGGGCCTACATGGTTGCGTTCCTCTCCTAAACCACCTAAACTCACAGGTGTGCTCGGGGAAGGGCTAACAGGATCTACCCGCACAGCCCGCTCAGAAGCTCCAAGGCCCCAGCGGGGACTCCTGGGCTTACTTGGTGGTAGCTTTCTTCCGAACCAAAGGAGGTAGTGGTGGCCGTGGTGGCTAGGCCCAGCTCCAACTCCGGCTCCGGCTTACGATCTAACCCCTGGCACGGCTACCAGGGGAGGAGCAACACAAGAAAAGGCAGGGACCGCAAGGATATAAAAGGTTGGGGGCGGTGGCAAAAAGCGGAAGACCAAAAAGTCGCCGAAAAAGCGGCGTAGAAGCCCTGTCAAAGACACCCGGAAGATCGACGTGACACCGGATGAAAATAGCCAGCGGGGAGCGAGAGGTCACACTTCCGGTAGCCGCCTCGCCCCCTCCTAGGAGTGCTTTGCTTGAATGCGCAGGCGCAAGACAGCCGGGGTTGGGAGGGGGTGATTCTTAACTGCAGACAGCACCAGCTGGGAAAGGGTTGGGAAGGCACTAAGAGGAGGGGAGCAGGCAGTCGGCGGAAGGTTAATGTCGCTCCGGTGGAGAAGAGTAGGGGAACACTGGTTAAAGAAAAGCTTCTCTGGGGACGAGTCACTGACAACACACGAAGGACCCACAGAAAACGTTTATTAGCACTAGAACAGCTGTACGTGAAAAAAAAAAATAATTTCTTTCTCTCTAAAGCCTGGACTTAGCGCCCTGCCCATAGTAATATTCAATTACTAATTCAACCAATATTTATTGATATCTCCTCTTGAATGAGCTTTAATAGTTTGTGGAAATGTCTAAATTGTTTAATAATGCAAATCTGCTAGCCGTACTCCTTTGTCGTCCATTTAATGTTTATAAAATCTGACCCCTCCATTTCTGAAATTGGTAATTTGTATGTCATCTATTTTCGTGATCAATCTGGCTAGGGGCTTCTCGGTTTTACGGATCTCAAATCTTTGCTTTCTTGGATTTTCTCTACTGGTTTTCTGCTGTCTATTTCATTGATTTCGGCTCTTATGTTTATTGTTTATTCTGCTACTAATTTTTTTAATTTTTAAATTTATTGTTTTGTTTTTCTAGTTTCTTAACTCAGAAACTGATGATTACTAATTTTAGATGTCTCTTGTTTCTTCAGGCATTTGGTGGGATAAGTGTCCCTCTATACTGTTTTAGCTACTTTTCACATATTTTGATATATTGTCTTTTCGTTTTCCTTCATTTCAAAATACTTTGTAATTTCCCCGTTGATTTTTTTTTTTTTTTTTTTTGACCCTTAAGTGTTGGTCTGCAAGTACAGAGGAATTTTCTGGATAGCTGCCTGTTAATTATTTCTGATTTAATCCCATTGTGATCAGAGAAGATACTTTGTACAATATTAATAATTTTAAACTTACACTTGTTCTGTGGCCCAGAGTATAGTCTGTCTTAGTGAGTACCGTGTATTTGAAATGAATGTGTTTTTTGCAGTTGTTAGGTAGACTGTTATATAAATGTCAATCATGTCAAGTTGGTTGACATTAGTGTTCATATCTATATCCATACTGATTTACTGTCTACGTATTCTAATTTTTAGAGTATTGAAATTTCTGACCATAACTGGGTTTTTTTTCAATTTCTTGTAGTTCTATCACTTTCTGCTTCATGTACTTTGAAGCTCTGCTATTAGTTTTATAAACATAGTTATTCTCTTACTTGAATGAATGTACCCTTTATTGCATCATTATGAAATGATCAATCCACTTTATAAATGACCCGCCTCTTTCCTGATAATGTTCTTTGCTCTGAAGTGTACTTTTTCTGATAGTATTACAGCCACTTTGGCTTTCTTTTGTATGGTGTTAACATGGTATATATAAGGAAAACATAATTCCAATTCTAGATAAAGTCCTCCAGAAAACTGAAGAGGAGAGAATACTTCCCAGCTCATTCTATGGGGTCAGCATTACACTAATATCCAAACTCTAGATATTAAACAAGTAAACTGTGGACCAATATCTCTCATAAATGCACAAATTCTAGTCATTTTTATTTCACAATATATAAAAAAGATAATACAGCATAGCCAAACAGGGGCTTATCATAGGAATGCAAGGTTGAATCAGCATTGATAAATCAATCAATATAGTTTACCATATTTACAGACTAAAAAAGAAAAACCATTTAATAATCTCAATACATGCAGCAAGTGCGTTGGTTGAAATCCAACATCCATTCCTAAGATTACAAGGAAACCTCCTCAACTTGATAGAGAGTGTCTATAAAAAACATCACACTTAATGGTGAAGAACAGTGCTTTCACCTTCAGATCCGGAACAAGGCAAGGATTTCTGCTCTGACAACTTTCGCTCAATATTGTACTGGGGATTCTAGCTTGTGCAATAAGGCAAGGGGGAAAAAGCATTTAAATTAGAAAAGAAGAAGTAAAACTGGTTCTATTTGTAGGTGACATGTTGAAAACTCTGGCACAAAATATAAAAAGAACTATCAGATTAAATAAATTACTAAAACTTCAGGTCATAAGATCAATACACAAATGTCAACTGCATTTGTATTACACTAGCAATGAACAATCTGAAATCAAAATTTGAAATTCCATTTACAACAGCATGAAATATTTGAGGCAGGCATGGTGGCATGCACCTGTAGTCCTAGCTACTTGAGAGGCTGAAGCAGAAGATCACTTGAACCCAGGCTGCAGTGAGCTAAGAGAATGGAAAAACAAGGCAAAACTAAAAAACAGCTATTTGCAAATCACATATCTGATAAGAATTTATTGGGGGAGGTGTTTGGGGAGTGGTTTTTGGCTGTGACTCAAAAGAGCTGAAGTATAGGCATGCTCACGCCTCACTACCACCTCAACCACCCAGGCGCAAATGATCCTCCCACCTCAGTTTCCTTAGTAGCTGGGACTACAGGTGTGCACCACCATGCCTGACTAGTTATTATATTTGTTATATAGGATGGAGTTTTCCAAAGTTTCCCAGGCTGGTCTCAAATTCCTTGGCTCAAGCAATCCACCTGTCTCAGCCTCCCAAAGTGCCAGGATTCTAGGCAGGAGCCACCATACCCGGCCCTGTTAGGAATTTATATCCAGAATTTTTGTGAACTCTCATACTTCAGTAATAACCCAAAAAACAAATGGGCAAAGGGTTTGAAGAGACGTTTCACCGAAGAAGCCATATATGGATAGCAAAGACATGAAAAGATATGCAGCATCATTAGTCATTAGAGAATACAGATTAAGAAAAAAATACAAATTAAGACCTCAGCAACATACCATACCTATTTAATGGTAAATTCCAAAAGACTAGTCATACCAAAAATTTGTCAGAACATAGAGCAACTGAAACTCATACACTACCAATGGGAATATAAAATGGCATAACCACTTTAGAAAACACTTTGGAAGTATCTTAAAGAGTGAGCAAGTATTTATTTGCATGTGATTCAGCCATTCCATTCCTATTTACTCAAAAGAAATGAAAGCACATGTCCACAGAAGAACTTGTACACAAATATTCATAGCAGCTGTATTTGTAATTGCCTATAATCCCAACCCTTTGGGAGGCCAAGGCAGGAGGATTGCTTTAGGCCAGGAGTTGGAGACTAGCCTGGGCAACCTGTCTCCACTAAAAATAAATAGCAATCCCAGCTACCAGGGAGGCTGAAGAAGGACAATCATGTGAGCTTGGGAGGTAGAAGCTGCAGTGAGTTGTGGTCGCACACTGTCCTCAAACCTGGGTGACAAAACAAGACCCTGTCTCAAAAAAAAAAACAAAAAAAAACCTTGGAACACAAATATCCATTAACAGGCAAATGAGCTGGGCGTGATCACACCTGTAATCTCAGCATGTTGAGAAACCATGGAGGGAGGACTGCTTGAGGCCAGGAATTGGAGACCAGCCTGGCAACATAATGAGACCCCATCTCTACAAAAAATTAAAAATTTAGCCAGGCATGGTGGTATGTGCCTATGCCAGGGGTGTCTAATCTTTTGGCTTCCATAGGCCACATGGGAAGAAGAATTGTCTTGGGCCACACATAAAATACAATAGCTGATAAGTTAGAAAAAACAATTGGAAAGAAAATATAATGTTTTAAGAAAGTTTACACATTTGTGTTGGGCTGCATTCAAAGCTGTCCTGTGGGCTGTGCTGTGCAGCCTGTGGGCTGAAGTTTGAACAAACTTGCTCCTAGCTACTAAGAAGGTTGAAGAGGGAGGATTACTGGAGTCCAAAAGTTTGAAGCTGCAGTGAGCTCTGATTCTACTACCATACCCCAGACTGGGCAGCAGAGTGAGACCCTATCTCTAAAAACAAAACTAAAAATAAATTTAAGATAAAAATTAAAACCAGGCTGGGTACAGTGGCTCACGCCGGTAATCTCATCCCTTTGGGAGGCCGAGGCAGGTGAATCACTTGAGGTCAGTTCAAGACCAGCCTTACCAACATGGAGAAGCCCTGTCTCTATTAAAAATACAAGTTAGCCAGGTGTGGTGGCATATGCCTGTAATCCCAGCTACTCAGGAGGCTCAGGCAGGAGAATCACTTGAACCCGGTGAGCCGTGATCACACCATTGCACTCGAGCCTGGGCAAGAGTGAAACTGTCTCAAAGAAAAAAAAGAAATATTGGTTCACTGAGTTACGCAGATCTTCCAGATGTTAACACATTTTATCCTACATTATCACACATATCACATTTGTTAATATCACTTCCAATCTCATCAGAAGAAGCATCTTTAAGTTTTTGTTGTTGTCGTTGTTGTTTTTGATTTTTAGATAGAGTCTCACTCTGTCACTCAGCGGGAGTACAGTGGCAGGATCTCGGCTCACTGCAACCTCTGTCTCCCGGTTCAAGCAATTCTCCAGCCTCAGCCTCCCGAGTAGCTGAGACTACAAGCATGCACCACCATGTCCGGCTAACTTTTTCATATTTTTAGTAGAGATGGGAGTTCAACATCTTGGCCAGGTTGGTCTCGAACTCCTGACCTCAGGTAATTCACCGGCCTCGGCCTCCCAGAGTGATAGGATTACAGGTGTAAGCCATCGTGCCCGCCCAGAATCTTTAAGTATTTGGAAGCAATCAAGGTCACAATGATGATGGAACTTTTACAAAATTGTTATTTTTGCTTGAAAGTTCAGTTATATCAGTGTCAACAAATAGATGGTTTTTTTTTCTTTTTTTCCCTCCTATGCTCTAATGGGTATCACTGAAGATGTTTTTTATTCTCAGGAAAATGTTTCCAAGTACCTAAATGTTAATAACCAATTTGTCTGTCAATAGATCTTTTAATTAAAACGGTGCTTCATGATAAAATCAGTGAGTTCAGCCTGCAACCCATTCCCTCAAGTGCTCACAGAAAGCACTT